TTTTTTTGGGGAGAACAATTGATAATTATTTCTACATCCTCTCTACTTCCAAAGTCAATTCGCATTTCACATCGACGTCATGTTTTCAGTTCATCATTTCATTGCAGGTAAATCATTCATCGATTTCTGATGCAGCAGAATGTCCCAGCATGACCATTAGTCTGATGCAATAATGGATTATCGAGCGTCAGCTCTCACAGATGAACCCATAGTCATAACCCCTCGCCTTATTACGTTTTCAAGTTGAAGAAGAGTATCGAGGCACTGAGATACTTTATTATGTACTCAAATGTATCTGTGGTAGGTGTTCGAACATTCCCCAATCGAGAATCAATGTCTCTCGGAGTGTCAAAGTATAAACGACGTATCAGTGCTCTCCCCAAGAAGAATTTCAATGCTGTCGCAGAAAGAAATTGAGAATTGCCTCACAACAGTCTGAAGACACAAAAAAGTCTCTTTTGCAGGGAGGAAAGGAGCTACTTCGGATCAAGCACTACCCCAATGGTAATCCTCAGATCCTTTACGAAAGCCAGAAATCATCGGTGACGCTATGAAATACACCCAGGACATAGAAGGCAGTAGAAAAAACAGAAAAGCCCAAAAATATTTCAATTCTCATCCTGCTGTGATCTCTCTATTTGAATTTATTTAATGTTGATTTGAATTTGGAGTGAGAGAGTTTCCGTGGTTCCCGGTAGCTAAGTTGGAAGAGTGCCCGGCGCGTAACTGGGAAACCCGGGTTCGAATCCCGGCTGGGCGAATCGGGATTTTTTCTCTCCAAATTCTAATTTTATTTGAATTTTTCTTTTTCAAATTTCTGTGAGAAATCGGAGTGTTCCATCGATTTCTCCAGTGAGCTAACAAAACTGGATCCAACGGATGTTTCTCCACCCAGCGAAAAAAATTCCAAGATTCGTTATTTACTGCTATACCTCCCCCTCTCAAGACTTCAAGACCCACTGAGGGCAATACAGTCAGCAATAAAATCAAATCTGGTAACGAGTGACGCTCCTTAGACCTAGGCGCTTTTCAATTCGAGACAAAACTGCAACGATAGACATGCCTAAAGTTAAGATGTATGGAAGAGTCTAACGCAAAGAAAAAGCAGTGAGAAATACAGAGTTTTGTATTTGTTACTTATCGTATGATTCAACAAGAAATGGGAGAAAAAGATTTGGAACGATGCATACATGTGTTCACCATATGAGATCAACCTATTGTACGACTTCTCTTGACAAATTAATTTCAATATATGAAAATTTGTGTCCAAGCCAAGATCAAATTACTCCCATTTCGGGAAGCTAGTTATTACCATTGGAATACACTAAGGAACTGCCGATTGCACTTAATGAATGCAATATAGTCGATAATCAGTTTATCATCAAAAAAATTAGAATATTTAAAATAATAAAAGAAGTGTGTCTTGGAATTATTTGTCTAAATGAAATAATTCTTGAGTTTTCCTAAGTTTCATTTTTTTTATTTACTTAATAGTTCTGGAGATTCGTACAGATCCCATAAATCTTTTATATTTCATCGAATGAAAGGTTAGCTCATGTGTAAAAAATGAACAGTCAAACTTGATTGTGAGAGTCACGAAGGCAAATAGTTAGTAGAAAATTGTCACTCGTTCATAGAAGAACTATGAACGTTCTATTCTAAAGTGAATACAATATCGAAATAATTGGATCACTGGAATTTTTGCATGGAATTTCTCTATCATTGAATATAATAATAAATGCAGACGTTCCCAAAATTTGATATAACTTCTTGATTTTCTATCATTTTTCAAGCTACAGAAAACATGTATGTTATTTGCCATCGAATTTTTCGGTCTTTATTGTTCCATTCGATAAAGGAATTCCATGCTAGGACACAATTAGTGGGATGTATCATATCACCACCTGTTGATAATTTGTTTCACGTAAACCAGGCATCACAACTTCTCATAACTGTGGTCCTAGATGTTCAGTTGCATTCACGAAGAAAATTTAGATTGAAGGAAAAGAAACGTAAATCGTGCATGCAACTACATCCCCTGGAGCAACAGAATTAGTGCTGTAGGTATGGAACCATTTTTTTTTATATTGTCTTAATTCCAGTTCACTTTTATCATCAAATAGTATAAAAAGGTGGAAGCCTATATGATGTTTTCGTATTTTTTCGTATTCCATCATTTGTACATGTTTTTCGATCTTTTTTTTATTTTTCCGCGTCAAAAATGAGCAAAGAAATTCTGATTCAATTAGGGTCACGAGAAGATATTTTTTTGTTGGGAACTGTGCCTACTTCATGAGAGGACACGTGTTTCTTATTTCGAAGAATAATTGAGCACTATGAAGTGATGAGCGATTGAGAATGACAACATATGATAGCGTTTTGCAAAAACACAGAAATACGTAGCATTGTGACATCATAATTTGATATAATTCCGAAATCGTATTATCTTTCAAGAAAAAAAATACGTAAGTGATTTTCCATCCACTTTCCGTATCTCATCGCTGTTTTAAATAAAGAAATTTTATGAAACATTTGAATCAACAGAATGTGTTATTTCACTCCTAATAATTTTCTTGCACGTAATTCTCCTAAATAAAACTTTTCCTTCTCAAGAAACTTCCAATAATTACAGTACTACGTATTTGATAATGAATTCATAAAAGAACTAAAGAGAAAAGATGTAAATGATGCATATAAGCTGTATCGTCTGTGGGGAGCGGCTTTGCGTTGCAGGTACCACAACAGTCTTTTATATTGTTCTATTTACAGTTTACCTTCATCACGAAATAAAGTTCAAACATGAGAGTTTGTATTAAAACAATCAAACTAAAACCCATTTACTCTTGGTTCACTATCTCTTGTCTTCCTGAATTTTTTCAATAAAATGTTTATTTAAACAAATAACATTCGATAAGAATCATATTATAACTAATATACTTAAAATAAAAAACTAGCTTTGGCGACACAGAAAACTGAAATGTTGAGCGTAGTGAACGTTCCTGCTCACTGATTAATCAGATACAAGGCACATTCAGGTTGTATCACCGGATTTCCTTTCACAGGATTTTACTTTACTGAGTAGTCCATCATGGTACTCCCACGTTGCAGTACGACGGCAACAGTAGGCCACGGAATGATCATAGGTCGCATCGTATGAGACGACTCCAGCTAATCTGAGAATAATAATTGTTCCATTGAATCGTTAAATATATGAATTCTCAAGGTGAGAGAAGTCAAATGAATCAGTCAGAAACTGCATCATACCTGTATTCTCTGCTCAAGTTCAAAGATGTAGGCAGATCGTAGAGCTTGCAAGTACGACCAGGATCGGTTGCTCTCTCTCTGCAATCTAGCTCCAGATATAGATGACAATTAGAAACATTTTCCTCACGCCTGACTGCTCCACAAGGACATTTCACATTCCAGAGTTTTCAATAATACTTTAGCGTATCGTGCAAGCGCTTGAATCCAAAGCGCCTCAATGATGGATTGTCAGGACAGAATGTCGATAGTTTTCGCTGCTTTTCTTTTATATTGATGGCAAAACTGAAAATTCATCGAAACTGATACGAATAATTCATTTTGAAAGTACAATAACCATTTGTAGTAGAACTGTAGGGCCCATTTCCTACTGTCCCTTCAGCTTTTCTTCGCTTTTTAAATCCTGCAGAGTTCCCCATCAGGTTCCGCTCGATTCGGGAATCCACGGTTTCATCAATCAAAGTCCCCAACAAAACAAGGACATTTATCTCTGGAGCAAGATGAACCTCAAGTAGGGCATGCTCATCGCTGTGCTGGTGAATCATTAACCCCTCGGGTCCCTTGAGACAGTTGTAGATCCATTGAGACTGATATATAGCAATCTGATAGCTGCCCATGTCAATTGAGTCTCCTTGAGGTTCAGTGTATAATCGTTACTCCTTTTACACAGGACTCAAGACCTTCTTATCACCAGTATTCTACTCTCAAACCTCTTCATAATCCCTTTCATTTTAATAAATCATCAATTGTATCTCTTCTTGTGCTGTTGATAGGAATTATATGGAGACCAAAGTATTCAGTCTATTGGAGGGTGTAATGCTTGAAGATTTCCTGGCTTTGATCCAAAAAGAATGCGCATCTCTAATTATTGCCTGTGCAGGAATGAAACAACTTATGATATGGACTAGTGATTGGTGTGAAACAGGGAATACTCGTGGAGACTAACAATTTTGCTTTGGAAGTAGTATCAAAAAAAGTGGTATCAAAATCAGAGAAAAATTGACAAGCATTTATTGAATATGATGCTTGCAAGCTTACCTCACTCAGTTACACACAGCCTTCTCACAGGGTTTGCAGTGATTGTCAATGCTTTTGATCGAAGATTATTGCAGGAATGTTCCTTTTAACAATCTTTCATCAAACATAACCTCTTTCGCGCTGTCAGAATCTTCGGGACTAATGATTTCCCTTATGCCAATGTCCCGTATCACAATGCAGATATGTATTTCTATTTCCCGCACAGGTACAAATAAGATGATTAATCCTTCATCAACAATTATGTTGTTCAATTTAATGTTTTTTTTCATGAAAAAATGAACTAATATTGTAAACACGCATACAGAGAGAATAAAACGCCAAAGTCGATAATACAGGAACCATCAATGCTTTGCTGGGGGTGGGGTTAGATCATAATTGTTCACCTCAACCTAACTAATTAACAATGATTGTACAAACAATAAAAACATGAAATTCGTAATGTACAAACGATTTCCTTCGGAATTGACCCATAATTTAGCACAATTAAGCAATGTACAGTTTTTCCGGCTAGCATCATGCCAAAACTTGATTGATTTTTTAAAATTAATGAGTGAATGTACAAACAAAAATTTGCATTGTACAATCATGTACTAACGATGTACAATCGAGCACATAAGGTCGTTTTTCTAATTAGTGACCTATTCCGGCTAAATACCTGGGGGTGAGCAACATTTTGTTGGACATTTGGTTAGCCATAACAAGATCCATTGAAATGATTTCCCGAGATGAGTAGATCCTAAGACCAATGTTCTTTCGCACAATTCGTTTGAAATTCAATTATAAACACCATTCGAGTCTCATTGATTGATAATTACGTTTGAAATCCTAAAATTCACTTTGAAAAAACATCCATCGTGAGTGACAGGTAGGTTTATGTCACTGAAATGTAGTATATACTGGAAAGGGCACTGATCCGCCCGACGCGAGCCGACAGAGAGGGGCGATTTTCAATAGCTGTTCGTGGATTAGAGGATATTTTTTTATTCTCACAATGGGACAATTATCGCCAAGACGTAAATAGAAATAATTGAGTGTGCACCACTCAGAGTACATAAGCTTTTTAACTCGCATGTACATGCTCGTTCTACGCATGCGCAACGCCTGCTAGAGTGAGACAGGTATCCTTGAAAATCTACCTCTCTCTGGCTCGTTTTCCGCTTACGGGCCTAGCATGGCAGTGCCCTTTCCAGTATATACTACATTTCAGTGGTTTATGTG